ATAGCAGAGAACGAAGAGGGTTGAGATAGAAAACGGTGGGATGGGAACAAATAGTGACGGTCAGTAACAGGAAAGATATTTTTGCTTCTTTCACTGTACACCTTTGATATTTTTTGTATCAGCCTATTGTTTTTCTTTATGTATGACGATACAACTCTTTGAGAATTGATACGTACTTCTCAAGTACTCCATTCTTCAACAAACAATCCCATAAGAATAGAGTCGAATGACGATCGGATGTCTAAGAATATAATGATCGTTGATCATTGATAGGCATGACGATGTTATAACAGGCATCGGAGGATGAAGATTTTATCAATGTAGACACGACCGGTGAGTCAAAGAAAGTTTGAATGGGATGCACCATTGCAAAAGAGAGTTTCTTTGTTATAGACATTGTTGTTGCTTTTTCGACTATCTTCAGGCACGAGTGAAGTGGAATAATAATATAGAAGGCGATCGTTGTTGACTTTTTGCCTTGGAGGTTATATTCGACTGTGTATGAACTATAAATAAAAGACCGAGTGGCACGGCGGTAGTCACTTTGTACTATAAGTCCAAGATTCATCATGCATTTACTCACGAAGCTGACTTATTCTCGGGTAAGAGAAAAGCATGTATAATTGAAGTGACGCACATTATTTTTTCCACTATCTTGGATTAGCCCATTCGATCGTTCAGAGGCACCAGGCATTCATTATGACGAAACAGCTGTCCAGTGCTCGTTGTTGGTTATCACAAGCATTACTGACGCACATTTGCCTGCAAGATCGTCCATTGGCCACTAAATCCTATTCCGATTGTGGAAGCAAAGGATATTACCTTCACAAGATGGGTTCATTAAATTCAATAGACATAGACATGCAAAAATGCATTCCGCATAAAGCTTCTAAGATTTTTTCAAACAACTTGAGTCACCAGAAAAACCGTCGTCTTTGCATGATTACACTAAGTGATGTTGAATTCCGAAAAACGTGGAGATATAGTGCGTGCTATACCTCCCCCTTTCCCCACCCCACATATCCGAGGAAATCAATATGTAAGTACAAACTCAAGAATGAAGTGAACAGTGCAATGCAACAAGAGATTTGTCATTATAAATCACATGACTTGTTTCAAGTAATCTGCCAAGTATTTTTCTAACTAAACTAGAAGAAAAGAATGGATTTGAATTATTCGATGAGCTATCAGCAACGCAAGTTCTATTACCAGGGGATTAGGTCTCGTGATCCGTAAAGATTTACGCACCGGAAAGGGGAAGAGCAGTTTTCGACATCAAAGCAGTTCGAGCTCGCGTCATGCCTTATATGGTCCCAGAATAAACGTCACTGGAAACGAGGTAAGTACGCCGTTCAATTGAAAGCAGTATAAACAAACCAGCCCTCGACAACATGGAAATGTTGTTCACCTGCAAATAGGATGCCCGTCGAGAGCAACTTAAACCAACCACATTAGGTGTTTTTCACCACTTGAAAACGCCTACGTGTGTATGCAAGACGTTTCAATGAGACTAAACAATCGTTTTATCATGGAATTTGGACACATGATTCACACGCCCCGGGAGTTAGTAATTGTGACGTAAATAAACAGTAGTATACAATTCAGGAAATTAAACGAGATGTCTTAATTCGAATAAATAGCATCAGAACATGAGGAAAATATTTCACACGATAGGGGGAACAGTATGCCAAAAAGGATACGAAGAACCAGAATGCGGGGGAACTTCTGGATGGAAAAACTTTTTGTGCATCGTTGACGCACTTTGCACCGTGCACAAATCTGAAAGTATGAACGAACATATGAGGAAACAAGGTAAGAAAAATATCAACCTGGAATATAGCCAACAAGAATGACATGGTTCAAGGACAAGAGATGACAGCAAAAGCTAATTACGCACATGAAACGTCAATGAAGTCTAAACTGGAATGGGTATTCGACTGAAAGGGAAAATGGGATGTTTTCGTAGTAGTAGGTGATGATGAAGCATTGGCCAAGCCGAATAGCTCGAAAATATGAGGAAAAATATTTGAACCTATATATAATAATATATAATATATATCTTTTATCTTTTTCTTTTACTTCCTTTTATTGAATATGCAATGGTACAATTTTCAGGAAGGGGGACGCGGCCAATCAAAGGGCTGCCATTCAACACACAATGGGGAGTCAAGCAGTGGTGGTGGGCTTCGGACACACATCCCCGGGATGATAATTTGGTGACGTTACCACCGGGCCACCATACATATTATATATATATATATATATATATATATAAATCAGTGTGACTAACCGGTCGCTCGTTGCCATCCAAATCTTCTTTCGAAGTGAACAGGCGTAAACAGTCAACAATGTTCACATTGGCTTTCTGAAAACAGAGAAAAAATATACTATAATTCGTAAACAGGGATAATTATACATCAGCGGCAAAACAATCTGTAGAGACATCCAGTCACGAGGAAGAGAAAGTGAGGCAGATCCCTTTTTAAGAGTATCAAGCTTGGATTGGCCCTTTCGATTGTTCAGAGGCACCAGGCTCAGGGTTTGCAGTTCCGACCCGAATGTTCGCGGTTCGAGTCCGGACAGAGACACAAAAAGTACGCACTGTTGATGCGTCCCGAAAAGGGCGAAACAGCTGTCCAGCGCTCTTTGTCGCTTATCACAAGCATTTTCATCGCATTTAAAGCAGATCTCATTTTGAGAAATAAAGCCCAACACATCGATGCGCTGCTTGCACAACAGTACGCTTCGGATGACAATACTATTCGTACCTCGGTGGAAGGCGTGAAAACGAAAGCAACATTACCAACTCTCGAAAAATTCGACGGTTAAAATCCGTATAAAATCACTGTGAAGTGTATTTCCGCAAAGTGTAAGCTTCATCAGTTTATCTAGTTGATAACCGTGTACTTGGTAATAACACCGGTACATCAAATTTCTAGTTGCCCAAAACGAAATAAGGATAACCAGTTCAACGGTTAGTTCCGTTGGTATAGTGAAGTTCCAGTAGGCGTCATCAACAAACATAAAGTTATATAATCTGGGCTATGTGGATGACGGGACGGAATCTGCCAGCGTCGATTTTCGATGGATTCATAATCAGCGGTGTATTCATAAGAGCACTTAGTTGCCAAATCGCAAGCAACTGTAATGAAAATAAACGAAAATCCAGAAGACTGCAAGTGAACACAAACAGATGGCATCTATACGCTATCCAGTTGTCGTAAGTACCATCACCACCATATCTAAGCTGCATTGCACAAGTCCAATGAAGCTACTGATCAAATAATGATGAAGTTAGGCAATCACGGTCGCGCACCAGAACAAGTGATGAACCTCCATTGATGAAGTTGGTTGGGTCATGTGTTATATTTAGTAAAAAATTGAGTGGCCTTGCGTGCGACATTCTTCGAGGCAGGCAATGTTCGGAAGTATGTGAAAGGTGGTCAAACTAAAACCCGAATGGAGCATAAAGAGATCTCCGCTTGCGGAGCCCGGAATCCAAACGAGTCGATGGTTAAAGAAACTGAGTGAGAGAGTTGTACAAAGTAAAGCACATGAATTTACACAGTGCCTTCGCGAACAGCCTACCTGAATCTCTACCCTCGCCGTGATACTGCTTCCAGCTTTCTGTGTTTTTTCGCCTCTGCTCCCGAAAGCCGAAAAACGTACCATCAAGGCGAAACTGTGAATGTGCATACTCATTCCGAAATAATTTCTTTCATGTAAGGAAATTTTCCTTATCATTTAAAGGGCTTCATTCAGAGAACACTCCGAAGCCGCACACACTATATGAATGAACATGCTCAGAATTTAAAAATAAACTACATAATAAATAAGTTTAGGAAAATGAGTATAACAAACTGCTAGCACTTCAACCACCAAACATCGATCAATTTCAAAGTAACTAAATTAAACTGATTTAATCTTGACAGGATGATGGTAGAGGAACGAAAGAGCTGTGCACTTGGTCACTGTTGAATTACTATCAACTGAGCAGAACAGGTGACATTTCCGTAAAATGTGATATTGATTTAAAATAAAAACTTAATCCTTCAGGGATAAAAGTGGTGTTATTAAAGCAACAAAAATGGAGGTTGAAAAGTGCATGCGTATGTTTGTTTGTGATGCGGTCAGTTTGAGCGAACGGGTGCAGGGGGGTGGTTAGATACTAATATGCCAGTAAACTGACCTTCGGAATCGGTAGACTTAGATCCCAGAACGGATCAAATGTGGTCGACTTGAATCTGCATTCTGTACATTCTAACGTACTCATCAACTGACCAACAAAGAGGTCTGTAGAGGGAAAGAGGGGAAAAACGGCAACAACAAAGAGTGTGAGTATCAATAAGTGGATAAGTGAGCGGAAACATACAATAAAATATAGGAAAAACACTCCTAAAGACCACGAATGCGGGTAAAAATTACACACGAATGTAAAAACTGTTACCAAAAATGCCCAAAAGACACAGTGCTACATGTTTAGTGGAATATATATATATATATACCTTTTATTGTGCGATAACTGTTTCAGAAAGACTACCATAAAACAGAAAATGTGACGTTGAGGATCAGAAAGTTGTTCAAATGTAATAGCATGGGGTTTCAGAAGTAGACTTGGATAATCCAAAAAATCTGAATCAGGTAACATCAAATCATTCATTGTCTCCGAAAGCCATTGTATGGTCGGGGGTGGGTGTCTCGAGTTGCGACTGGTCACCCCTCCATCGCAGCTCGTGAAATGTTCCCATACGATCAAGCGTCCAAAATAGCTTCTTTTAAAGAAGTCCTAATTACTGTCTTCTCATGGTGGAGATGCTTTCCCACTAAAGGGAAAGGATAAAAAGCCAATATTCAGGTCGGTGAACAGCTGGCAATTGACTAAAAACCCTGGTTCCAAACCAACCAAGAAGACGCTTACGAACCACACCCAACCAAACCTGTTTGTTTGTAGCAATGGTCACCGGTCCAACTAGGTATCGAGGTGCAATGGGCAACTTCGACGTTTGAACCTGTCCAAAATGCGTATGACCCGATGAACTGGACACCGGCCCTCAACGGACTGCACTACTTACACACTGCGCCGCTGCCTTGTGGATCAGGTTTTGGCTAGCCGAAGGCTCCGGTTGTGTACTCCCTAAAAACATATACCTGCTTTGGCAAGGGTAACCTAGAAGTATCATATTCTCGAGCAAATCATGGACCTTTTGTTCCTTTTGTACCGTAGTTTGTTTGGCATAGTCTGAACTCCGAAGTGTGTGAAAATAATATATAAAAAAACACTCGTTGTGATATAGAACGAAACATGTAATAAGTAAAAGCTACCTATTACTGATCATGATCAACTTTAGTAACGGGTACTTGAAATGACGGTTCGCACAACGAATAAATAAATTATCATGAAAGACGAAGTTTGATGACAGCTTCTTCTAGTAGCAACCTCAAATACAACATGAAAGCTGCTAAGGTCCTTGACCGCATTGTCCGCCTCTCATAAACTTCTTGACGAGCACGATATGAATCTCAGAGCTAGTGGGATTAAGACCCTAACATTCCAAAAATTAATTGCACAGAGCTCGGCATATGTAGGCCAGTAGGCGAATAAACATGATACAGTCACTCGCTGAAGCTACCTATGCGTTCTTTTTCTGTGCTTTTTTAAACCGGCTTGGTAACCAGGTGTCATCATCGTGTGTACTCGGAGGATGTTGTCGTAGACCTTATTCCTTATCTGTATGCTTTTTGACGGAATGGATTTGTTGCTGTGGCCTTGGTTGACAGTTGAGTGCACGCACATTTGTGCATTGAACGTGGGATGAAAATACTGTAAACAAGAGAGAAATATGCCAACAGGGACACACATAGGGTTTGTGATACCAGACACAGAACCGAGACCCACAAAATGACAGGGGAAATGATCACACCAAATAGCAATGGCCGTTCATCCACAGAAACGCTTTTTACATGAACAAGAATATCATTTATAGGTTTTTTACACTGACTAATACTTTTTAAGGTCACTAATAGTCCACTGCTTGTGCCTCCGTCTTATTAGTAGCCTTAGCCACCCAATTACCCGTATTGAATGAGCTGCAAAAATCGGCCGCGAAATCCGCACTACGGAAAGTTCAAAGTAGCTGACGGAAACAGCGAGTAAAACTTGGGTGATTAGGTTTGAAGAATGAAACCAAAACCTAACGAGGGAGGACATGCACCAAGGCGCAAGAGTGCATGGTAGGGGATTGAATCACTGTCGAGGAGAGAAAGCGTCCGAGAAGAAAACTAGTAGTAAAATAAACTGATGACAAAATGAGACAGAAGAGAAAACAATTAGAAACCAATCAGTTCCTATTCAGAGCTGTACAAGCAGGCAAACCATCAAGTATATATCGATAACGACATTAGATGATTGTGATTTGTGAATCATAGTAGTTTTATCAATCGAATGGTACGATCTTTGCAATGCGTGCTCAAATTCCCCTTTCAACCGGTGAGATCTCACGGGATGATATTTTCAATGTTTATTTATTAAAATCCGGAAGAGAGAAGTTGCAGCTTTCGTTGGGTCGGGGATAGATGAAGGAATTTAGTGGCTGAATGGGAAACATTAAAGGTCGAACATTCAATTAATCGGAAGACGGATCGATTGAGGATTGCAAACGTGGGGAACAAATAGACTTATGATATTATGCGTTGAAAATGGAACATGAAAGAGCAAATTTAAAGTTTAAGGCAACTCTAAGCTGAGCCAAGATTTAAAACGATATTCTAAAAAGATTGCGAAGAATCCAAAGACGAAGCGTGCTCTAATTGGATGAGCGATAAGGGAAAATTGAGCACAACACCTTATGTTGTGACGCTGAGTGCGACAAATAAGTTTAACTTATTACCATTAGAGATAAATGGCACAAAAAATCGATAAACGAGACCAGAAAAACTGTGTTTATCTTTGTGACAAATCAGGTGTGCGGAAAAGTAATACCACTTTTGTGACGCATCGAATCATGTGATCAGCAAATTTACGCAAAACTGAACTGACACCTGTGAAGAAAAGTCCGGGATCTAGGTTATCAGGACAGCAGAACAACATGCACGTCACGATTGAATGCCATGGCGCACAGAGTTTGCCATCGTATTAACACACAATCTGCATGTGATTTATTCAACTATCAATCGAGTTTGCTTCAGTGAAGCGGTGGTTTTCAAAATCCCAGATTCAGTCCTTTCACAAACTAAGCCGCAAAAACAAATAATTACATGGTTGAAAAAAAGAATTGATTTTCTAATTAGATCTGTTTGCAATGAATCACCATCCGGCGAAACATACTGCACCGAACTGAAGCGGTCATAGCTGACTACAGATTGTGAATGAAATAAGAATAAACGGACACATCTTCACACAATCATATCCGCTAAGAAATGAAAAGAATATCAAGGTTTCAGAGCAATCATTTCTCTTAGGGCTCGGCGTAACCGATTATCATTGATAATGATGTTTTACTTCCTTTTGGTTAATTGAATATACAATCGTGTTGTAGCACTGATTCGCTCGATATAATGCATATGTCCTGGCGGTAATTTCGAAATCAATCGCATTTTGTGTGAGCTAAGTCTCGGCAACAATCCGGGACGATTTGTAAGAACACTGATCCTAGTATGGTCATCCATACCCAATCTGATGAAGTAACCTCCGTCTGTATACTCATTTATTCACCCACCCACGCACAGCAGGTACAATAACTAACATAATTACTTCATTTTATTTCTGCACAATTATGTGTCAACTGTCACCATGTTTAATCTACAACAAAATGAGATGAATTTAACAGGTAGATAAAGTACCGAAAATAAGCTTTTTTGGAAAACTGCGTTCCCCAAATGGCGGATGAGTCACATTTGCTCAATATCAGCTAATGCTCATCAAGTTTATGTAAAATCTTCAAGACACTGAACGAAGCCAGAACAACGTTTCCACCACAGTGTCTATGAATCGATCTCATTCCATTGTCATGGCAATCTTCTAGGATACCAACCCGGTTCGAAGGGAACACAACAGTTGATTAGGGTCTGACGCGTACCCGAAAATCCCTCAAGTAAAAATTAAATTCGCCTTTCGCTAAGGGGTCCATCTAATGAAAGTTTAAGCTGAGTAAGGTTAACAGCACGGAGAAACCGCTCAGAGTCCCCTTCAGTTGGTGAGTCTGCTGCACTAAGGTTGGGGTTTCCTCATTTGTTTGCAGAACCATCTACAATGGTTTTGGAGACCTACCCTCATGAGGTTTTCCCAGACAAAATTCTGCGTTCCACTGTAGTCATGCAGCTGTTTCCACTTCATCAACTAGCTGGCACAAACTGTATTCTTGCGACCTGGACGTTGAGTGAACCAAATCCGTCTCGGGTCTTGATTCCTCAACTGGTGTGAGATACCTAATCACCTGCTTCTTGCGATTCTGGAAACATTGAACAGTGAGTGAATGACAGTCGGATTGGGCGCGGGCTGCTTGAAGAGAACGAGAAAACGGCGCACATAATTGTCAGGAACAGAGACACACATTTAGCAAGTCGACCACAGCTGCCTGTGTCTGTTACATCGATCAGTCTTTACGCTCCTCATTTCCAACGCACTCTGCCACACTTAATGGTAAACCTGTATCCAGAATGACCTCAGTCAAGTACCTGGTTATCACCATAGACAGCAATTTACATTAGTCTACAACTGTATGAGAAAACTGAGGTGCCTGTATTTTCAGTTACGCACCCAGGCAATTCCGAACCCCACAGTCAGTCCTGTCATCCTTCGTTCATCAATGCGTTTACCCATTCTACTCTATTGCTCCCCCGTAGTGTTTCCCGGTCTTTTAAAACAAGACTTCGAAACGATTCGCCGCGGTTTGATGATCATTAGTCACGCGTCATTAATCCCAATCGATTCATTAATTACACAACTCACTGATGGTCACATCAACTATTGTGTTAAATTTGCCCATAAGATTTTAGATGACCCTCTTCATCCACCGCACCCTAATCTACCGTCTTGTCGTAGGAATCCGTCCACATGCTCCTCAAAAGTTTTGCACATGAAATAAATATCAGCAACATTCTTTACCTTTCGTGTTATATTTCATTATTATTATTATTATTATTATTATTATTATTATTATTATTATTATTATTATTTCATTCCGCGTGACGAACAGTGTATATTTTTAACTGAAATGTAAGCATATATGCTGACATAAGTTATACAAATACAAAAAATGCAGTCACTCAGCCCTGGAACACAATTCTGGAACGAGATACGCACATTTTCCTGATAGAGTTACATCTCTGAGATAGTTTTTTGTACAACAGAGCCTAG